CGCACTGCAGCCCTGCAGACCTCCCAGGCTCCAACCCCAGCCCGGCCCCCCGCTGCCCGCAGCTGCACGCCCTGCACCCCTGCATGCTCACCCACGCAGCACTGGGGAGCCTGCCCCTCGGGAACAATCTGACTTCAGTTGGTCCCTGCTGGGGGGCGGGGGGAGCGGCACGGGGCCTGGCAGTGCCAGCCGGCACGGGGAGGACTGGGGGAGAACGAGCCCCTTGTTGCTCCGACAAAGGGCTGGGTGCCCATCCCAGGCTGAGCCAGAGCTGGCTCTGCTACAGGAGAACCTGGGCTAAGTCCGGCTCGGCCTCTCACTGGCTGCGCCAGCCTCAGTCTGCTCATTTGTGAAATGGAGGCAGGAAGAGCCTCCTGGGAGGGGGATGTCGGAGAATGGTGACCCGCGAGGCGTCTGGGCGGTGAAAGGTGCTTGTAGCCTTAGCCTGTCCACTGTCCTCTGACAGAGGGTGGCTCGAACACCGGCAGAGTGAGCCTTCCCCTTCCCCCACCCCCGTTGTCAAAGCTGTCACCCCAGTCACAGGGCTGCTTCCTCCCTCCGTGTCCCAGCCTCCTCCCCTGACCCTGCCTGGGTCACTCTGACTACTCTGAGCCTGGCCTGGGTGGGACGGGTACAGGGCTAAGGGAGGGACTTGAGGGGATCTGAGGGCAGACGGGGGTGGCCCATATAGCCCCTGGGCATGCTAACCACTCCCTGCCCAGCCCTCAAGCACACCTGCTCACTCTCAAAGCCATTCATAAGCAACCCCCACCCCGCGCCGCTGCCCGGTCTGGCCGGGAAGAACCAGGAGTAGGGACACAGGAGAACCAAAAATGACCCCCGAACCCTCCCCACCATTTGACCTCCAGATCCACCAGGCCTGGGAAGGGGTCCACCATTCATGCATTCGGTAACACCAGGGGCCTGCCTGGAGTGCCAGCTGTCTGCAGACACCAGGGCTACGTGCTTCCCTGAAGAATCGTCTCCCCTGCCCCCACCCCCGAGTAACACCCTCCTCCTGAGGGGACCAGGGGGGTCTAATGCCCCAGAGAACTCCTGCCTCTCCCCAGTCCTATAGAAAATGTGGCAGGGACTGAAGTTTTAGCCAAGACAATGAGAGCCGCCCCTCTCTGTGCCCTCAGAACCCACGGGCTTTCCCCACCACCCCCCTCCCGCTGTTCACCCAGAACCTCCCACGTAACTACCCCTGCCCTAAGCTGAGTCTGGGTTCCAGCTTAGTGTGACCAAAATGAGCTTCCCCGTACAACAGATGCGGCTGAAGCAACCCCCATCCACCCGCTGTGCCCATACTGGCTGGGTGACTGGGAAAGCCACTTAACCTCTCTGTGCCTTGGTTTTCTCCTCAGCCAAATGAAGCCCATAAGGGCACCTGCCACTTGGGTTATTGTGAGGATTCAGGGAGACACCGTGGGTGCGTGGAACTCCCTAGCATGCCCTTAGGCATCTGATAACAGACAGGCGCTGGGCTCCCCCTCAAAGGCCGTGCACGTCTCTGGTCAGGGCAGGGCTGATTTCATGTAAGCCTATGTGGGGGCCTCCCTCATCAGCCATTTACACCTTAGTATGAACAGGTTCAGAACCTTTCCTGAGGGAAAGGGGACAGGGGGAGGGCAGAGACAAGGAAAAATCATGAGGGATAGGCAAGGAGACAGAGGATCCCAGCACAGGAGAGCCTCAGATAGAAAGAAGATCTCAGGGGCGCCTGGGTGGTTCAGTGGGTTGAGTGTCAGACTCTTGGTTTCAGCTCAGGTCATGAGACAGAGCCCCACATCAGGCTCTGCGCTGACA